CGCCGGGTTCGACTATGGTAGTATGTGGTGGTACTGCTCGCCGCTTCCAGGGTCGTACAAAGTGTAGATGTTGGTCAAGATCTCCAGCAGCAACCATCTAGCACCACGCTGTCCCAGTCTTTAAATACCCTGCCATCACATGGCTAATTGTGTTAATCGCTAATTGGTCCGCGACACCTGTTCATTCATCACACGGATACTTGTCCAGCATTGTCCAAGTGCGACCTCAAGGTCACGTAATAGGTACTTTCTGTACGTGTAGTGAGTGACAAATGCGGCTACCTACTGGGCTATAAAACCTACCTCTGGGCTGTTATCAATTTATACTATAACAATAAATTAATAAATACAGAATTACATAATAACAAGCGTATCCTTTTAATAATACAGTTTCTGTTATGATCCAAACACCTCATGACATATACAAATGTAGCAATATTTTGCATCAAAATCTGTCTACAGTTATTCAATTTAGTATTAGTCAAGAGTACATGTATGTAAACCTTTTTGGTTACATGTCAATTTGTTTTTTTGAGAAAAATGTGAAATAATAGCAGCAGTTTCCATAGACAACAATGAAAACATATTTCCTTAATAAAAACCTAATAAAAATATTGTCAATATCTAATACTTCTAGACATTAAAAAGTACCTTGTAAGACACTATATATTTTTTCCCCACCATATTGAGATATATTCATTCCATAAGAAACAATGGTAAAATTCCCTACATGTATTTTTACTCCATTTTGTACATTGATTTTCTCCAAACTACTGTAAAATACTTTATTTTAGCTGGAATAAATTTTCGCTGAAAAGGATTTTTGGGTGTTTTATATGGAATTTATTTTCACTGATTTTTGGAGAGTTGAGTGAAAAATATTGAAAAATAGGTATATTTGCTGGATTTTATTTTCACTGAATCATCCCTTCAGCAAAAATAGCGAAAACAAAATATTTTACAATAAATTTATTTTCTTCATCTACATGACATAAAATATGTAAAAAATGGAAGAAAATTACAAAATGTTTACTTCTGCGTAGCATTCTACCTTATGCATAGTATTTTCTATTCTTTAATGATCAGATAATTAAACACTGGTAACTTTCCAGTGTAGGGATCATTTGGATCAGTAGCATTAATTAATAGATGATAATTACCACATTGTTCCATGAACAATAAAAATGTAATCTGGTTTTCACCGGGTTCACAGTATACAGTTTGCGTCAAATCCTGGCCTGCGGGACCCGCATAATACATAAATGTGTAAGACAAATTCAGCTGTCTATTAAACCTGAACTGAAGTCGGCTGTCACCATCTTTTGTAAGAATTACTGGGTTTGGGTCACCCAGCATCTCCAATCCCATGCTATTAAATGCTTCTGTCGGGCCCCACTGATTCTGGATATGTGGGTATGGACGGATATTTATTTTTGCTTCAGTGCAAACAATTAGGTAACTACAGATGGGCAGAACACCGCCTTGCGAACTGGATGTGTTGGGTGTGTAGATGTGAAATCCAAAACGAGATGGACATGGAGGACTGAACCGAAATGTGACTACACCATCTGATTCACTTTGAACTACAAAGGGTTGAAATTGGCCTTCCTGAGCCTGATATGCGGTGACTGAAGTGACAAAGGTGTTGACATCAGAGACTTTGAACTGAATAACTGCATCCTCTTTCTTGCACATAATTACAGCATTTTGCGCGAGTGCTGTTAGGCCGAAATTCTCTACGCCAATTGGCCCCCACCACTGCAATGGACATTGTGGGAGGGGATAGCTATCAGCAGACGGATGCTGGCTGTCTACTTTGTAACAGCAAATCTCGGTAGCGGTCTCAATGTTGAAATCACCATCAAGGAAATGCTTCTTGGCGTAAAACACCCAATAATAACTTCCTGGATCAGGAAACCTCATGTAAAAACTTAGAACATTATCAGCTACCTGCTGCTGGAAGATAAATGCACTGAAAGGAACGCCATCTTGCGTTTGTGCAATTTGATGATCAAGTGCAAAAATCTGGCATGTTACGATGAAGCCTTTAGGGAAGGCCATTTTCAGATTAACATCGCCATTTTCAGCTAAGATAAGACACTTTGTATGAGACATAGGCACAAACCCGTAAGCGAAGAAATCGGGTTTCAAAACCAAATCTTCCATAAAATCCTGCTGCGTAAAGGGATTCACAAGTAACTGCCATGCTGGATCATTTGGAAAGTGTGTCCGAATGATAACCTCTGGATCAGCAAGGAAGTAATGTTCATCATACTGGTACCGGAATGGATCAAAGGCTTTTGAACTACTGATATGGGATACACCCCAGTTACAGTCAACAAAATGCCAATAGCTGTCGATACATACTGCATTCCATGTATGGTAAAAGTCTGGATTTTCAGATGAAATGGATTGACCAGGAACAAATCCAGCCTTCTTGGCTCTACCTGGAATCTCTACACATTTCAAACCCACATACCTGTAATAGAAAAAAATTGCAAGGCTCTGTTGAAAATAAATGTTTTGAGTATAACACATTCTAAAGGTTTCATTCAGGAAATCCATAGTTATTTATAGAAAAATGTAAATTTGTTTATGCTCCTGTGTGAGTTAACAAACTATAGTATAGTGTATTTCACAAAGACCTGAACATTTAATATGCGAATTTACAGTGAATTTCACAAAACCATGAACATTTATTGAGGGAATTAACAGTGAATTTCACAAAACCATGAACATTTATTATGGGAATTTACGGTGAATTTCACAAAACCATGAACATTTATTGTGG